GCCCGCAGAGCCTCGCTGCTGCGCTCGTGCGTAACCGCCATCATCGCCGACACACCCGACACAATGAACAGCGCTGTGGACGGAAATACCAAAGCGCCCGAAGCCGGGGCTACCGCCGGTGGGCCCTCCATGATGAAGAAAATGTTCCGTGGCGTCAAGAAGATTACGGCTCGTCACGCCAAGAGCGATGTGGAACGCAGCTACAAACTTGGCGCCGAGCTTGGAACTGGCAACTTTGCCGTCGTTCGGCTCGCTGAGCACCGCCAGACCCGTCAGAAATACGCTTGCAAAATCATCAACAAAGCCCTCTGCGCCGGCAAGGAGGACATGATTGAGACTGAGGTCTCCGTTCTCAAGCGCATTCGCCACAAGTATGTTCCCCCCAATGCCCCACGCCCCTTTTCCCCCGATTTTCCCTTCTCGCCTTTGCATCCTTTCGTGCTTCTTCTTCCCTCCTTTGACTTTGAACGACATCTGCCAACCCTCACCCCCCCCGCGCGCGCCTCCTGCTTTGCCTCTTTGCCATGCTACTGCTAGGTATATTGTGGGTATGGACGAGTGCTTTGATACCCCCGACAAGTTGTATCTCATCCTGGACTACGTCAGCGGGGGTGAGCTCTTTGATCGGATTGTCGACGAGGGCAACTTTACAGAAGCCGACGGCAGCCGTATTACCAAGCAAATGACCGAGGCCATCCAATATCTTCACAGTCAAGGCATTGTTCATCGCGACCTCAAGCCCGAAAACCTCCTGTTTCGGGACCGCTCCCCAAAGTCCGACATCCTGGTCACTGACTTTGGTCTTGCCAAGCTTCTCAACGATAACGTCGCCCTCAAAACTGCCTGTGGTACCCCCAACTACGTGGCCCCCGAAATCCTCATGCAGCGAGGCTACGGCAAAATGTGCGACCTCTGGTCCATTGGTACGTGCTCGCTCCCTGTCTTCTCGGTGCTACTACGCACCGGCTTCTGCCTTGATCGGCCCTGCCCCTTGGCGTTTTATCCGCTTGCTCGAATCTGACTCGCCACCACATGGCCCGCTTGCCGCAGGTGTCATTTCTTTCATCATGCTCTGCGGCTACCCCCCCTTTTACGACGAGTCGGATGCCGTCCTCTTTGAGATTATCATGAAGGGTCGTTTCGAGTTTGATGAGCGCTACTGGCGGGACATTTCCGATGATGCCAAGGACCTCATCCGCAACATGCTCAAGGTCGACCCAATCAAGCGCTATGACACCTACCAGGTCCTCGAGCATCCTTGGATCTCGGGCAAGGTGAAGCTTCCCACCGTCAACCTTTCCAAGAGCGTCAGCATGAACCTCAAGAAAACAGGTCTCGGCCACAGCCGCCCAGCCATTGAGACGGAGGAATCCTCTGCCAGTCGCGCCGTCGGGGCCCGGCCTCACGCCGAGTACACCTCGTCGCCAGCCTATACGTCGTCGGCGCCTGGCGTCCGGTCTCACATCGACTACGCCTCGCCTGCTGCCGCCTCGGCCGTCTCCTCATCTCGCCACACGGCGCCAAGCACCCCGCGCGCTGTCGTGGACCACCTGCGGAGCGTGCCTGACGCTCGCAAAACCATCGTCTGAGACAAGCCCCAACTCGCACCCACACTCGCACCCAGCCCTTTCTTTTTTTCATGCCACCTATATTCCTTCCCCATCGTTTTGACCGCGTATCAGTGCGGCCAGGCAGGCAAGAATCGATGAGCTCGCACATGTGTACATAAAATGGGTTTCTGCTTGTCTCGTCGTTCTTTCCTCGTGCCCGTCGCTCTTCCTGAAGTTCAAGCCCGCCTCTTGGCCTCCATGAGCAGCGGAGCCAATCGCGGATCCATCGCCCGCAAGGGCGCGCGGCCGTCCTTGGTTCAAATAGAAGCGAGAGCCTCTGAATCGCAATTCATTTCAAACTGACGCTCCCCACGTCGATCAATCGCTGCCTTGTTTTTGAGCATAATTGTCAGACAAATGGCCGTCAAAGTGCGGAAAACCTCAATAACCCCGGCGCTAAAAGTGCTGATCAAACAACACAAAAATTCGCATCTTGTTTCAAACTGTAACATCCAGCACACTTTCGCTGCACTCGCGCCAAAGTCAAAACGATCGTTAACGTCGTCGTGTACAGTCAAAAGCACTTTTTGTTGAATCTCTTGGTAAGCGAATGGGCAGCGCTGCTTCACTGGCGGGAAAGGGCAGCGTCCACTGACCGTGTCCGAGTGGAGCTCGTGGGCATCGGTGTGCATGTGGTCTCAGATTCATTCTGGTTTGGCGAGCGTCTTTGGTTGTCTGTGGGGTCATTGAAGGCACGGCACGGCTTCATTCACGCTGAGTTGTTTGTTTGACTGGGGGCGTCTCGACTGTGTAGGCTTGTGACAGGATCTTCTTCCCATCAAGCGTTCATCATGGCTGAAACCGAGGCAACCCCTGCTCCCACTACGGAGCAGACCACCGTGGCCCCGACCGAGGTCGCTCCCAAGGCCGAGGAAACCGCAGCGCCGGCCGCGGCTGAGGAGACGGCCAAGCGCACGCATGATGAGGATGGCGAGCAGCCCGCCAAGCGCGCCGCCGCCGACAACAGCGAGGCCACGGCCACTACCGCCGCACCCGCCACCGAGACCGCCGCTGTGCCCACCACCAACGCTACCGCTGCACCCGCTGCCGAGGGTGAGGCGCAACCCGCTGCCGAGGAAGAAGGTGCGACAAATGTTTTTCATTCTCAGTAGATCTCGACCCCTCTGCCTGACTGGCTACCTCTTCAGGATGTTTCAGCATTGGTCTCACCCCTGTGATGCACGCCTGCTCCTGTAGATTCCTTCGAGCTGGCCAACAATCTGGTCGGCTATATCAATGGCCCACAAGGACAGAACATCAAGATTATTGCCGACTACTGTGGAGTGACCATTGATGTGCCCACCGCCTGTGAGCCCAACACTCAGCACCGTAAGGTCAAGATCAAGGGTATCCCCGAGGGCGTTGAGTTTGCCAAGGATATCCTTTTCCGCCGCACCACCGGTGACCTCAGCTGGCCTGCCCAGCCCCGCGCCGTTGCCGAAGCCATGGCACGTCGCCAGGCCGCCGCCCAGGCTCAGATGCAACAGCACACCGGCGCTGCACCGAGTGCTGCTGGTCCCACCGACTCAAAGGAGATGTTTGTCCTCGGTGAGCACACGGGCCGTATCATCGGCCGTGGTGGTGGCACCATCCGCTCCATCCAGGATCTTTCTGGCGCACACGTCGACGTGGACCGTGAGGATGGCCCTGATGGCCGCCGTCGCGTCTGCATCGTTGGTACGCCCGAGCAAATTGCCAAGTGCGAGGAACTCATCACCGCCAAGATGAACGGTGATCCCCTTCCCATCCCGGCCAATGCCGGTCTCAACCCCAACGAGATGAAGGTCACCATCCCCAACAACATGGTCGGCCGGTAAGTATACACTTTTGAGTGACAACCACACAGCCGAACTCCCATCTTGTGAGTCTGTATGCCAAACAGTACCACTTGCATTACACGCACATCCAATCCCCCACGCACCCTCACATACGCACAAACAAACACACCTGTTTTACGCACGCGTGCAAAACAATACACTCGCTCGTATGCACGCGATACGCGTGACCTTTGGGTTTTAGCCTGAACCGGTTATGTCTTGATCCGAATACTTCCGAGCACATCCGTTGGCGTTTGCTCTGTGCGCACAGCGAGTGTCTGCTGCGTCTCCGTACCCCTGTGCTGGCTGGAGGATTGATTGTCGCGACCCATTAGCGTTTTTACCGCTAAGACCAAAGCACATCCAGTGGGCTCGACACTTTTGTCTCTGGATTTGGCCTTTGGTGACCTACTGCTGGACAGCAAGATCCAACTTGTCCTTGGAGTCAAGACCCCTCCCTCTGCACGTCTGGTCCCCAGCTCGCTCGTGGCCCGTGCCCCCGTGCTCGCCCGAGGCCTTTGATCTTTTCCCGCTTTTCCTCTCCTCCCCGCCCGTCCTTTTTGCTGACGTCGGCTTTTCGATCGCAATGTCAACTGCTATCGCCTGCATGGTCCCCACCTTGCCCCCCGCGCCGCTTCTTCACTTCCAGTTGCGCGATGGAACCGGCCTGTACCATCACCCCAAAGTGATTCATGGTGTGCGCAAGGTCACTCCCATCATCAACTTGAAGCCTGGGATTGCTGCTTCTCGCCATCCTTGGTTGTTGCAAGGCCACGGCACTCTTTTGTACTCTTCGAGTAAGCCCGCGGAACACCGCGCTATCCTATTTATTACTACCCCTCGGTTTTCGCCTTTGGACATCAAGACGTGGCAATCAGTGCCTGGCTTTGTCTTCCTCGAACAGCATGCCCAACAGCCTGCTTGTTGTCCGGCCCCTCTCTTGACCCATGCAACACCTCGCTCTTGCTGCATATGACCGTGCCCGTCTTGCCCTCGCTGATGATCAGCCCAATTGCTGTTACCGAGAGCAGCAGAGTCATCCAACCCCGTTGAACATACTGCACACATCCCACGCGCTGGGCTTCCCTTTTCCTGTGTTTCGAGTCATTTGGTTCTTGGGCATTTTCCCATGTGGACAACACTCACCCCTTCATTTGCATACAAATACACACACACATGCATCCACCACTCTCAAGGGCCACCTCAGAGTATACGGTGCTGACGCTAACGCATGGATGTGTCGTCCAATTGCCTTCACGCCTGCCCGGCCTTTTAGTGTCATTGGCAAGGGCGGACAGACCATTCGTGATATTCAACAAAATACAGGCTGTCATCTGGACGTCGCTAAGGTACGGGCATTTCAGTTCTCCGGGTTTTTTCCATATTTCTCCCAAAAAGTGTCATCTTCAAGCTTTCAGGCAAGAGGTTGGTAGTTCAAAGGTCAGCTCATTCGATACTGTTTTGTTATGCCATCCTCGGCTGGGTTCTTGTGTGCGTAGGACCCCAACGGCGAGACTGGTCAGCGTGATATTGTGATCAAGGGCAACCCGGCTCAGTGCATTCAGTGCTGCCATGTCATCAACGAGACGATCGGTGGCATGACCGGCGACTTTGTGACAAACTACGTTACCCCGGCCTACGACTACGCTTCTTTCTGGGCATCGCAGGGTCTCGACCCGAACACTGGCTATCCGGCAGGCTATGGTGCCCCCGCCGGCGGCTACGTACGTTTCCGTTGCTCATGCTTGACTTGCATGGGCGGCGCCCATCTGTTTGACCTGGCTCATTTTTGCCTTTCACCGCTGTGCATGATTTGAAGGGTGGATACGGCGGCTACGGCGGCGGCTACGGCCAGCAGGGTGGTTACGGCCAGCAGGGCTATGGCGGCTATGGCCAACAGGGTGGCTATGGTGGTGGCTACGGTGGCCAGCAAGGCTATGTACGTTTTAGATTGCATGTCACTTTGCAAACGTGGGCAAGATATCTCCTCACCATTCAATTGTGTGTTCTTTGTTTGCTTTGGACCTGATGTTGCAGGGCGGCGGTTATGGAGGCTATTACCAGCAGTCGCAATCGCAGCAGTAAAGCGACCTGTGGTCGTACTTGGCCCTCCCTTTGCATGTTTGTCTTGTGTTTTGGCAACGCCGCTTGCTCTTCCCTCCTCACGTTACAACCCGTGGAAATTTGAAAAAAAAAACAACTTCGCCTTTTCTCCTCTGATTTCCCTTCTCTTGAAACATGTCGGTCCGGGACTTTGCTTCATCAACTATGGAACTCAATTGGACAGAGGGATGAAAGGTGGCCAGATTCATGACAGGCCGTCAAGATGCCACGGTCTGCGTATCATAAACGTCTGCTGACACCTCTAGACAAAGAGATCGTGCTTTTTGTAATCGCCTTGCGATTCAAACTCGGTGGGATCCTCACCCAGTTCCCGAAGCCGGGTTTCTAGGCGCCGGACGTACTCCTAATTTGAATGATACAAAGTCAAGGTGCGATTTGGCTTGACATCTGGAGGTAAAAAAAAAAACCTCTCACAAGGCTGCAAAAGCAAAAAAACTTACGCGAGCATCCAAGCGGGTCATGAGCTTCTTATGGCGGATGTCAAGCGGATCATAGTCACGTGTTTGCTTGTCCTTGAAGTTGACCTGTCCCGCAGAAGCCAATGGGTAATGAAAAGGGTTGTTACGTGAAACATGCCAAAACTGCTAAGCGCCCGTGACGAGAGGACAGGCAGCAAGGATCAAAGCACAAGAAACATACGCGGTCAAACCACCACTCGCGCACATAGCTCATGTAAACGATGGGGCGAAAACTTGGCGAGCGATTGTGAGTGCCACGATGGTAAATAGAGACGTCAAACAGCACGGCAGAACCGGTGTCAGCGGCAAGGCGATGCAGCGGAGTGGGCGAGTTGGTCTCATCATAGTCCTTCCAGGTTTTACGCTGCTAGAGGCAGGTGACGACTTGTCAGAGTGACACAGGATGATGGCCGGAGAAACGGTAACCGATAAGAGTTTGTATTTGCGGCTGGACACCTCACCATTGGCCAGTGTGAACCGGTCATAAACTCGGTGGGACCCACTTCTTGCGTCATATTGACCAATGGCACGATATTGACAATACCCTGCGGCGTGGGACAGCAGGGCATCGGAAGTTGCATCAAAAGACAAGTACAACAGAGTCCGCGCGGTTGAAACAATCAGAGGGCAATGGAATACGTGCGAAACTAACATGGCAGGGCATTTGTCGACTCGGGTCAGTTTGCCACAACGGATATAGCATGCCGACGTCCGCGTGCCAAGGCTGCCAACAGTGCAGGCATGTCAGAACAAAACTTTGTGGGTGTGGGGTTCAGCTGGGGAGGAAACTTACCTGATGTGGTGCCCCAGCCCGAGATGCCACATAGCTGAATGTGTCAATCTCAAACCTAGGACATGACGTGGTGGGGTAAGCACGAGGCAAAGATCTGGCGAGTGGCCTCAGCCGAGATGGGTCAGTGTGACCTCACCTGGCACCAATGACCGTCTTGAGAAGGCCGAGCATGATCCGGTTTGCAATGAGGTCAGAGTCGATGAATGGGCTTTTCAGAGGAAACTTGACCTCGTAGCGATCGTCACTTCGGCTGGCAGCGTCGGTGTATTCTTGGAGAGTGTGGCCTTCCTTGGCCAAAGCGCGCAGTTTGGCATCCCATGCTTGCCAATGCGGCTGCGTAAAAAGAACAAGCCGCCATGTCAAGTGTTGGCAGGAGGGGTGGGTGTGTAAGGGTGCATCCTGTATTCACGCTGCATGTGTGTGTGTGTGTGTTTGGTTGTTGCAACGGTGCAATGCCAACCTTGGTCTCGTTCAGGAGCTGGTTGATAAGTTTTTTCTTGTATACATCCTTGACGACAGCTACGCCACAAACCTTCATAATGACATGAAAGCGGTGGGCCGTAGATGTGCGCAACGGACCGCGGCTAGAAAAACGAGGCAAGAGGGGGAAGATGTCAGCCACGACCCGGGCAGCCGGAAAGCGGGGAACAAATGCGCGTGACCCACTATTCACTGGGGTCGAGGGTGACGGTGAGGTTGTCGGGATGAGCGCAGAGAGTATGAGCAGCATCAAAAACTCGGCCCTCCTTGAGCTGTTTGAAGGCCCGTTTTTCAGCTTGATAGCGCGCACAGTCCACCCTGCATGGTGACATGGCCACCAAAGACAAGCGAGAGACAGAGAGGGAGAGGAGGAAAAGGACATGAACTCCATGTGTTTTGTTAGTCAATGGCGGGCAAGGAGCTAGTCAAGAAGAAGCATACGCAAGACATTTGCGCGGAAACCGCCGACGAAAGGCTTGATGGAGGTCTGGCAAGAGTTTCAAAGCTTGCTGATCTCCTGAGGTACACGGGACAGTAGATATGATCAAGGGCAGAGGGCTTGCGGGCGACTGACTGAGCTAGGCCGGTCGCGGTAACGGCGACGGGTGCTGGGCCTCACCGAGCCAAGCGGCGAGCTCGAAAGCTTGCCGGGCTTCGCGATACAAGCGCATGCTCTAGAATCGCGCCAAACTGATGAGAGAAGAGCCTTGGCATCTCAAGCTAGAAATGGTGATTGAAGTAGCACGTAGGCTGCAAACCTTGCGCGTCTCGGCCGGGCCCATGCGGTCGGCCAGGTCCTTGGAAGCAATGGCAATGTTTGCCCATACGTCTTGGCGGTGGCCTTGGTGATAACTGGCAGCCCTGAGGATCGCGACATGTCATGTTGTTGCATAGCACCACAATTAAAAAAAAAAAAAAAACAGCCGCAGCAGACGAGCAGGGCTAGCCTGAGTTGCCTCAGCCCCCTTGGCCCCTTTCGGGCGGGGGGTGACCGTACGGGGAACGACTCGTACCTAAAGAGATCAAGTGCTTCTGCAATGTGCCCACGCTGGGCCGCTGCCACACCTTGAGAGTTGAGCTGCTCCACTGGGTTATAATCCTTGTATTCGTAATCATCAATCGTCTCTGCTGGATCAAGAGCCACCTCCTACGTGGTCACGAGCAGGTGAGCAGGCCTTTACGAGGCAGGAAGTAGTTGCAGCTGTGACACCACCTCAGATTGGCCCGGCTCAAGATGAGCCACCGGGAGAGCAGTGTCAATGCAGTCCGGGTCATCTGCCATGCAGTATTCCGCAGCTCCAGCCTGAACTGGCACGGCACTGGGCATGAGGAACAGCAGCAACACTGCCAGTGCGCTGCACGGTAGCATCAGCCGATCCCGTGCCCCCAGCATCACGCTGGTCTTTCGTTGCAATGACAGTTTTACAGGTCGATTCATCGCATGGACTTGGCACCTATCACATCAAGCCTCATCGGCACCAGCATTCGCTGCTGGTGCTGGTGGTGGTGTTGGTGCTAGTGCTGGTGGTGGTGGTGCTGCTGGTGCTGGTGCTGGTGCTGGTGCTAGTGCTGGTGGTGCTGCTTGTGCTTGTGCCGCTGCTGCTGCTGGTGCTAGGGCTGGGCTGCAAGATCGATCGGCAGCTCGGATGCTCGTCGTCCAGTGCCGCCCACCGCTCGCTCGGGCCAATGATGAAATAAAAAATCCAGACCAAACGTTCACTGCGTTCGCAGACCGCATGCAACGTATGACCGTCACTGCATTCGCCCACTGCAATATTTTTTGTCTGACATTGACGACAGGTTTGGGCTGGATGAGCTCGAGTTGGCAGAGAGAGGTGCTCAGTGCGATAAACCTCCGAAGCAAATATGAACTGAAATGCAGAGGTTGCGACTCATTGCTGCTCAGCATCAGAGAAGAAGCTCTCTCGGGCAACGGTCAACACGAGCAACAGGAACCCTCGTGCAACCTGCATAACTTGAGTTATTGTTTTTTTTCTGCGCGCGCACGCAAAACGGCAGTCGAATCAACGTCCAATTTGGACGGGGAACCAACCTGTTGGAATCTGGCTGGTAGCCTGTGTGCATATTTGTGTGCGTGTGTGTGTTTATCCTTTGGAGCGAACAGGTTGCGGTTGAGGGGTTGCCGGTGGACTGGCACCATCATGTCGCGCTTGAGCGAAGAGGAGACGCTGGCGGCGCTGCAGGAGCGTACGTAGAGGGCGTTGTGCAGTCTTCGATGCTCGGCCCAGCCTGGCCTGTCTGGTGACAAAGCTTGACATGCGGGTGTGCCTTCTCTCTAGTCTTGCCCAACTTTGAGGATGAGGGCGTCCTAGAGTATATTGTAGGCATGCTGATGGATTTTGATCCCAGCGAGACGCCCGATAGCATTGCCGAGTGTGTCTCTCTCTCTCTCTTTCGCGCGCGCGCACTCGCTCTCTCTTTCTACCGCCCGGCCCTAAGTATATCGACTCTTGCCCAGGCAGAGCCATACACAGTGTTCATGCTCAGTCATTGTCGACCCCCATGCAGGTTCTTGGACGGCTACGTCGACGATGACGAAATTCGACCCCTGGTCGATCGCATCACGTACGCTGTCATCATCTGCGCCTTTCTGGCCAAGCTCGTCAGTTTGAAAGCCGCTCATGCCTCATCATCTTTGTTCTTCCTTAGAGCCCGGGTTCTGGGCCAAGACACTGCTGACGGGGCCACTCCCAGTGCGTCCGCCTCGGCTGCTCACAATGACCACGACGATGAGAGTACGCTCCGAAAGAGTTCAGCCGATTAGCGTCTGCCACACTTTCATTTTTCCCCTCTCACAATTGGTTGTGTTGCTTTTCCAGAACGCCTCTTGCTTGCAGCTCCCGTCATTATGGCTCAAAGTGCCCGTGACGACGAGGCCAAGCTGGCTGCTTCTCAAGACCTGATGACCAAGTCAGTGCTGCTGATCGCTTGCTTGTTACCAGCTCCTCCCTGGTGGTTGCTTGCCAAGGGCATCGCTCATCACCAACTCTCCTCGACCATCACCGTTAGAACTTATATCAATACAAACGAGGCCATGCAGTCCTGGGCTGATGAGGACGATGTGGCTGACGTTGGTCTCTTGATCCCTCGCGATGTGGCCTCGCTTCACCATGCGCGACCGCATGCCCATCTGCACAACCCTCCTCTGGTGTCGCCTGCCTTGTTGTCATCCTCAATCAACCGTATCAACCCTGAATGTTTTAGAGTGTGGAGGCCATTGAAATGCGGGCCAAGCTCAAGAAAAAGACGGAGAAGCGTGAAAAGAAGCAGCTCAAGCGTGAACGCGTTGTGGCCCCGCGCCGCACCGCCATGCTCGAGGCTCTCACCACCCGTCCCGTCGTCATCCACACGTATGCCGCATGGCCCTGACAGCAGTCTTGGAGCTTTGGGAGCGGATCATATCTTCCAACTCAGAAGACTATTCTTTCGACTCACGCTCCTCCTGCCCTTGATGCTTGCTTTGTGCCTCACAGCGTCATTGGCGAAGATGGCAGCTACGGTGGTAGCCCCTGCGTGGATCTTCATCTAAACGACATCAATATTGATCTGGCTGGTCTGACCATTCTGGAGGACGCCAAAGTCACCCTGGCCTACGGTCGCAAATATGGCTTGGTTGGCCGCAACGGTGTCGGCAAGACCACCTTTCTCAAGCATCTGGCTGCCAAGGGTATGCCCCGGTTGTTGTTTCTGCAACTGCTGTATTAAGACAAGACATACATGCCTGCGAGTGCCATAACCGTACCCGATTTGTCGCTCTGGCAATTGGTAGCCCTGGATGGGATTCCTTGGTACCTGCAGGTGCTGCACATTGAGCAAGAGGTGCCAGCCTGTGATTTGAGCCCCCTTGAGCTGGTTTTGGAGTGCGACGAAGAGCGAGCTACGTGCGTGCATTTGATTTCACTCCGACTCTGCATTGTGATGACCTTTGTCCCAATCTTTGACCTCTCCCGTGGGAAAATGCTCTTTTCGCTGGCAGTCTTTTGAGGGAGCGGAACTGGATTGAGAAGGCGTTGAATGACGACCCCAAGGTTGGTGTTTTGTTGGCTTGAGGTGCATGCGATGAACCTGAACGCCCACAACACCGGCAAACGTTGATAGGCAACCGCGCCAAAAGAAGAGACGCCCGACATTCCCGTGAAGCCTGGTGGGTTGCGGTTGAATGGACGTTGGTCAGTGGCACACAAGGTGTGCCCAGTTGCTCATGCTTGTGGCTGGACAGGCGTGGACTTGCTCGACCGTTTGGGTGAAATTTACGAGCGTTTGGAAGAGGTGAGTTTGGTTTTGGTGCCACACGTTGCAAGCCAAGAGCAACATGCGGCCTTGTCTCCATGCTAACTAGGCTACAATTTCGTTGGGCACTTGGCTATAGATTGATGCTGACAAAGCCCCCTCCAAGGCCGCCACCATTCTTTCGGGTCTCTCTTTTACTCAAAGCATGATGCGCAAGCCCATCAAGGTCCGAAGGCCGCTCAACCTTGCTTGGCGGTTTGCACGGCACATTCATCTTACCATGGCCGCAGGAATTTTCTGGTGGTTGGCGCATGCGTGTATCGCTCGCCCGTGCGCTATTCATTGAGCCCGGTACGCATTTTTAGCACTTTAAACCGCCTAGCATACGGTGTTCTGCATGCATACGCACATGTTTCCTGTCATGCTTGGGTCGACTCACGCCTTGGTTTTGCGTGACTACCCGAATCCGTGCTCAGACATGCTTTTGCTTGACGAGCCGACCAACCATCTTGGTGCGTATTGCCTTGCATTACCAGAGTCCGTTTTTGCGACACTTGGCTCGGCCTGCTTATACCGGCTGTTTATCTGGTACAGATCTTCATGCGGTGCTGTGGTTGGAAAACTACCTCCAAAACTATGAAAACACCGTTGTGATTGTGCGTGACACGCCTTTGCGTGTGTTCGTGCTTGGGCTCGAGTGGCTTCCTGCCTTTTGTGACACGCGAAATGGGGTTGATCATGGCCTTTTGCGTATTCCGTGCGATCAGCGCTTCCAGCCTTCACTTCCCCTTCATATTCGCTTGCTTGCAGGTGTCACACGCCAAAGGCTTTCTCAACTCTGTGTGCACAGGTCTGTGATCTTGCCGTTCTAGTCGTCTTTTCTTGTTCTGATGCCCTGTTTGGCCCTATTCTTGAGCAGGCTCGAGGCTAATTCTGTGATACTGCTTCTATACCGGCGCACCCTACCCTATTTGTTTCTTTGCCAGACATCTTGGAGATGCGAGACCGCCAGGTGCATCGCTTCAAGGGCAACTTCGATTCGTTTGAGGATCAAAAGTGAGTTTTGACAAAACACCCTTTGCTGTTAATCTATTTTGAGCATCCAAGACTGGCCCTCACGTTCGTGCGCTCAGGTCCCACAAGATGGTCCAGGACGAAAAAGCTCGCGAAGGCTTGGAGCGGAAGCGATCGCAGCTGCAAAGCTTTATCAACAAGAACATTGGCGGTGGCGCCAAGGGCGCCAGCATGGCCAAGTCGCGCCAGAAGATGCTCGAGAAGATGGCATCCCTGCCCGACGATGTGTCCACCGATCCCACCGTTCGGTTCAAGATTCCCAACCCTGGTAGGTCTGGGTGGTGTGGTGGCGATGAGAGGCGGCAAGAAGCTGAATAGGCAGGAGTTGTTTGTGCTCAAGGGCGTCTCAATGCTGGGCCTTGACAATTGGCATTTCAATTATGGCGTAGGTCACGTCGCGGGTGGGTTTGGTATCCGCTTGGTGGGCGTGGGCTTTCACTACCCAGATGCACCAATGCTCTTTCGCAACGTGGAATTTTCCATCAACCAGGTAAGCGCTCCACGGCGCCAGGGAGAGGGCTGCATGCTTGTCATGTTGGAACTGCAAGCTCATCATCCTCGTGCGGGACATGACAGAATTCGCGAATTTGTCTGGTCGGACCCAACGGTGCGCTCGTTTTGTACTGCTTCTTCTCGCCCGGTCTATGACTCAAAGCCAGATGGCGCATCGCGTCATGCGGTTCTCTTGCCTTCGATGTGCTTGCTGCCGCTTGGGTGCTCTTATTTTCCTTCTGCGCCTTGACGTTATAACGCTTTTTTTTTTCTCCTTTACTGCTGCAGGTATTGGCAAGTCGACCTTGCTCAAGATTGTCTACCAGGAACTGGAACCCACTGAAGGCATGGTGACGCGCAACCAAAGGCTACGCGTGGGGCGTTTCAGCCAGCACCATGTCGACGAGCTCAAGGACAAGAAGTCGGCTTTGGAGAAGGTGGGTGGCTCGAGGAACTGTGGATATCGCGGCCGCAAACCCCGTGGCTCAGTGGGTTGCTTGCTTGCTTGCTGCTGCGTCGTTCTGGGTGTAGTTTCGCGACTTGTACCCTGCAGACCCGCCAAACAAGATTCGCAAGCACCTGGGATCAATGGGCATTCAAGGCGACATGCAGCTGCGGCCCATCAACACTTTGTCTGGTGGCCAGCGCTCGCGCGTGGCGCTGGCCCTCATCACGTTAGTTGTTCTTTTCCTGCTTCACCCAAGCAAAATTTCTTTTGATGATCGCTCACACCTGCTTTTGTGTGATATGCATGTAGGTACGAGGAGCCCCATTTGCTCTTGCTTGATGAGGTGACCAACCATTTGGTGAGTTGCAGGGGAGACCACATGCGTGCTGCGGGGCGGGGCCCAGGGAAAAGCCAGTCATTGTTTGTGTGTTCAAGGGAGGCCCCTCACTCCGGATCTTTTTTATTTTTATTTTTCTTTTCCTCAAGGATCTGGACACAGTCCAAGCCCTGATCCACGCCCTAATGGAGTATCAGGGTGGCGTGATGATTGTGTCCCACGACGAGCACTTGATTACAGCGGTGCGTCGCGGCGCGTCGCTGCCACAGAGAGTTTTGATGGGATGGCCTGGTGTTGGGCTGGTGTTTGTCTGACATGGCACGCGATGGACTGCTATAGGTGTGTGATGAACTGTGGATCATCCAAGATCAAAAGGTGGTCCTGTCCAAGGGTGACTTTGAGGACTATAAGAAGGGCATTGTTGCCCAGTTCAACCATGGCAAGAAGAAGCGGGCTTGATGTTTGTGCACATGGTAATCAATCGGATGAGCCTTTGGCATGTTGCTTCCGGTATCATGTGCAGATTTGCGCTGACAACAGCAAGCACCTTTTGTTTGACAGAAAGAATGGGGTTTTTATACATTTCGTTGAAAAAGTGTGGGTTCAAGGATGCTCCTACGTAGACCAGGATGCCATAGGGTCACGGATGATGGGCGCAGGAGTTTCATACGTGATGAACCCCCTTTGGAGTTTCTAAGTGCCGAAGCTTCGTGAGCAGCCAGAACCGAGCACTTGAAAGGTCTTTAGTTGATTCATGATGAGAGAACAACGAAATCCTGTAGTACAAATACGCAACCTTCAAATTGGCAGTGCGGGGTCAGCCCCACACGGAGTTGGGAGATGCTAGAGAAAGAGGAGAGGATCAAGAGAGGACGAAGTGGGAGAAGAGAGGAAGACGGAGGGAGGCGCATGAAGCACAGAGAAAGACTAAGGACAGAGACGGTGAGAGAATCAGAGAGACGAGGGAGAGACGTAGAGATTCTGAGCGAGATGGCGAGAGAAAGAGAGCGTGAATCAGTGAATCACATGCCGCGAGTGGCGGCGCTCAGAGGTTTCATCCGGGTCTTCTTCACGAATTCTTCCTTGCAACGGGTCACATGAAACCGAGACCTCCTCGCATTTTTCATCCTCTCCCGGAAATGGTAATGGCATCGCATCCGACCGAAGCCGACCAAGATCTCGTCGGCGCGACCCCCCCGCTTTAGCTTTCTGCCGTCACAACACCCCACCTGCCTGTTTTTTATTCCTTCCTGTCATCTTCTCTCTGTCTGAGGGCTGTCATCGGCTCTCGTCGCCTTTTCCCCTCCCGCACTCTGCACTCCAGAACACACCGCCTCGCCACCGCCCTATCTCCTCGCTTGTATCCTCGCCCGTGGTACTTCAAGCCCTCTGGCAGCAACGGCTTTCCCAACTTTTGATCTTCTGCAGGTCTGTCTGCCCGTCTGTCTGCTGCCTGTCAAATCCGTCTCCTGTCGCTCTATCTGTCACCTGCCTGTCTCTATCTGTCTCTCCTCTGGCCATTTCTGTTGTTCCGTCCCTCGTCTGATTTTGCCTGCCCGCCTCTGCTCTGCGTGCGCGTCCCCCCCCCCCCCCCACGCAAAAAAATA